AAAAAAAAAAAAAAAAGGCTACTGAGTTTAGGGCATGCTGGCTCTTACCCTGGGCTGTCCTTGGTTTGCTGCAGGCCCAGCCCCCTGGCCAGGGCACCTGAGCACAGCAACCTTTATAGGTCACCTGCCAGCTTTGCGTCTGGTCTTCCAGCCCGCGCTGTGCCGGGCAAGGTGAGCCCGTTGGCCCCTGGTGAGTACACTGCCTGACCGGGGGCCTCAGTGTTGCCCTCAGATACACCATTGGGTCTACAAACTGGGATAAATGTCCTGCATCTCCCAGCTTCACCCTGGGCTTCAGTGAGGTTTGCCACAAATGGGCCAAAACATCAAGTGCAGCTCGGTGAGAGCAGCGGATCCAGCATTGTGTCCTGCTGGCTGAGGAACAGGGACTCCAAAGGCACAGAGCAGCAATGTATTGAGCTGCTAGAAATCTCTGAAGGGTGCTTGAGAAACTGGTTGCTCTTGGAGAGGACCTGGGGCCCAGGATGGGTGGCGGACTCTCTCCCGCTTCTGCCTGTTAGAGTTTTGTACCGCTCAGTTCCTAAACGGGGAGGCTTGGAGTGAGTGGATTTGGGTGTTGGAGTGAGACAGATCAGGTTTGAGTCCGGTAGCAGTCACAGCTAACGTTGATGGAGCTGTTTCTGTGTGTATCGGGCACTGGGCTAATTTAGGCTCGTTTGTCATTTACTGGCAATGGGATGTTGGGCGGGTGACTTTCTCTGAGCCTGTTTCCTCAGTTGTGAATGGCAGTGCTTTTCAGGATTGTAACGGGAGTGAGAGAGGACATTAACATTAGAAATTTCTTGGTGGAGTGCCTGACAGTTGGAAGATTCTCTAAATGGGCGCTGTTCACTCTCGCTTCATCCCGCCTGGGGGGGGTGTCCGGGTGCGGGGAGGAGCCCTGTAAGGGGCTGTGGAGAAGCAGGTCTTAGCGGTGCCTTGGGGAGAAGTGGCCTGCCTCGGCCTTGGGGATGAGTGTTCTGCACCTTACGCCCAAAGGGTGGCTTTTCTAAGACGGCCAAGACTCTGGCAATGAGCAGGCCTCTCCCACACTCCTCCCCAGAAAAGCAGTTCTTACAGTGCCGGGATTTTTACCTGATTCCTTGTCAACATGGATTTATTTGGGACCTTTCCTTAGTAAGAGTTCTGCCTTAGAACTCGCCTGTAGTTAGTTGCCTATTTGGTCCCTGTTGCTTGGTACTGTGCGTTTCCCCCCCACCGCCTTCCCCCGTGGTTTCTGGTTTCTTGCTAATATTCTTGGAATGAGGGAGTGTGTGAACCAGATTAAAGAACGGAGTCATTAATCTTATTATCAGCACATGTTTCCTTGAAAACCAGTGGGGAAGTCAGGTGTAATACGTGGGAAGACCGTAGTACCTCGTGGTTTCCCTGCGATCTCCATGCTTCCTGCCTTAAATTAGAGTTCTGAAATACGGTGAGAGCTTGTAAATTGTGATTAATAAAACAAACTCCCTCATGCCCCTGATGAGAAGTATTAGGGTCTGGGAGTGAACGGTCAAGAAAGAATTATTGAGACGTCTTTGGCGCGAAAAAGGAAGTTTTATTAAAGCACAGGGACAGGACCCGTGGGGAGCTGCGCTGGGATTGTGAGGAGTGACCAATGATATACTTCTAAGTTGGGAGTGGGTTGGGAATAGGGTAGGTCTCTAAGGAATTTGGAAGGAAGGCTTCCAGGACCTTGACGGGCTAGCTGGTGTTAAAATAAGGTCATTGACTACTATCTAGCAAAACCTTAGTTATGAGACCCTTCAGATGTATGTGCATCAGTGGGCCATATGCTTGGAGACTGATTATTAACATATATTTGGGGGGCAGAGATAAAGGAAGTTTCCAAATGGATTTTTTTTAAGTGTATTTATTTATTTTGAAAGAGAGAGAGAGAGAGAGTGTGCCCTTGCACACAAGTGGGGGAGGGTCAGAGAGAGAGGATCCCAAGCAGCCTGTGCACTGTCAGCACAGAGCCCCACGCGGGGCTCCAACCCACGAACCCATGAGATCGTGACCTGAGCTGAAACCAAGAGTCAGATGCTTGACTGACTGAGCCACCCAGGCGCCCCCCAAATGGGTTTTTACATGTTAACAAAGACTTACAGGATCCAGGAGGTTGGGCTGAGGTCAACCTAAGGTTGCCATTTGCCCCTAGGCAGCTGAGCTCCTGAGGGAAGGTCACCCTGTCTCCAGTACGTTTCAATGGGCTGCAAGTTGTAAGGAGATTTAAGTTTTTCTACATTTCTTTTGCCTTTGTTCTCCACATCACCCCCACTCAGACACGAAAGAAAACATTGCCTGGGCCGATGTGGCCTCTCTACCTTTTTGTTTGCCTCTCTCCCTTCCAGAGGTAACCACTGGCCTGACTTTGGGGTCAGTAGGTGAATTTCAACCTTGGCCGCTTAGTGAGTCACCTGGGAGCTAAATCCTGCTGCCTGGGTCTCCACCCACCCAGAGAGCCAGATGTACTTGGGCAGCTGTGTGGTTGGGTTGTTAGGGCTTGGAGGGGCTCCGCAGGGGAATCTACTGTGCGTCTGGTGGTGAAAGCCACCGATGTGAATGTGTAGTGAATGCCTCTTGCTCTGCAGTTTCTGTCCCCAAACAAGGCAGAGTTGGTGTGTTTTCCAACATTATATAAGTGGTGTAACGTCGTTTGTAGCCTCTTTGCCTTCTTAGCATTATGCTTGTGAAATCTAGCCATGAACGATACGTAGCTCTAGTTCAAATATTGGTAGTTGTGTTCCATTTGGGGAATATACTGTAGTTTATGGACCCGTATTCTGGCCATAGCTGTTCAGACTGCTGCCAGTGTTCACTGTCAGGAATATTGCCCTTCTCAAACACTCTCTGGCATGTGTGAGCTTCTCCAGGGCAGCGCTTCCCAGCCTTTGCCACATCATGGCACACAGAGAAAGTCATATTCTTATTGTCGTAAATGAAAAGGCTCTAGACCCAGGGCTACAGCATTTAAGATCTTACCCGCCCCTGGGAGCTCTCTCCTGGAGCTTATTCGCAGAAGGGGAATCCGGGAGAGCATCCTTGGCTTGATTAGGTATTAGCTGTTGTGCTGATTTACACTCCCCACAGTGGTCTGAATTTTTGCCAACACCCGGCACGGTCGGACCTCCTAATTATTGCCAATCTGACGGTTATGAGCTGGTGCTCTGTCATTTTATTTAACGTTTCCTAATTTCTAGTCCGTTGAGCATCTTCTTATGTGTATTGGTCATTTGTGTTTCATCGTTTAGCTGCCTGATTGCATCTTATTTACACATTTTTCTGTTTGCCTTTTTTTTTCTTACTGCTTTGTGAAAGTCTATATTCTGGATCTCATTTCTTTGTGATTTTATGTTGTAAATATCTTCTCCAGTCTGACTTGTGATAGCATTTTTACATTGTTTTTTTACATTTAGGTCTTTGATGTACCTCATTGGTGCTCAACCAGGGATGATTTTGACCTCCAAGTGACATCTGGCAATGTCCAGAGACCTTTCTGATTGTCACAATTTGAGGGTGGGAGCTGCTGGCATCTGGTGGGTAGCGGCCAGCGATGCTGCTAAATACCCAGTGATGCACAGGACAGTCCCTCTGTAACATAGGATTATCCGCTCCAAAATGTCGCTAGTACTGAGACTGAGAAACCCTGCCCCAGAGATTCTGGTTCAGGAATGGGACAGCTTCCTGGAATCTGAATATGTAATGAGTGCCTCAGGTGATTTACGAACAGGCAAGTTTGGGAACCCCCGAAATAGTATAAATACCTTAGGATGCTAAGAAGAGGTCGGTGAAGCCCCAGAGGTGGGGGGCAGGGAAAGGAGCAAGAAGCACTCGGTGTGCTGGGGGCCAGCACAAGGAGACAGGCCTTTTCGCCCAGTCCCCTGGCCCTGAGAGAAGCCTTCCCCGGCTCACCCTGAAAGCCATGCAGACTCCCACGGGCTGGACTGTGCCCCCTCCGGACATTGCTACTGCTCTGTCCTCCAGCAGTGATGAAGAGACGCGTAAAGGGCTCATTGTCAGAGACCTCATTTGAGTGCTGCCGATAGACCCAGCATTGTGCTATGTGTCTCCAGTACATTCTCTCTTCGTGCCTTTACACCAGCCCTGTGGGCTGCCAGTTTTAGGAGAGGACCTGGAGGACAGAGAGTTTCGGTGAAACACCTTTGTCATCCAGCAGGTAGGCGGCAGAACTGGGTTTCCGACACAGGCCCTTGCTGTTAGCCGTCGGGTCGTGCGGCATCTCCCAGACCATTCCAGAGCCTTCTGGTCTGCGCCTGCCTGTTCTGCTCTTCAGCCTTGCCGAAGGGCCCCCCGACCCCAGGCCGCCCTGACTTGTACAGCCTTCCACGACAGCCTGTGTGCTCCGGGGCGTCAGCAAAGACGCCCCACAAGCCAGGAGCTGCTTGACTTCCATTGGCTTTTCTACATGCCAGGCATTTGAGCTGTTTCAAAGGGGGTGGATTCTGGCTTTGAAAGCAACTAAAATATTTTAAAATCAAAATGCTAATTGAAACCTCATGGCGAGCGCGACTCGCTCCTTTGCCCTTATTTGTCCAAAGTATGATTCCTTCACCACAAGCATTTCCTGACAGCATTCTTGAGCTGGCGCCCAATATCACGGTCTGTCTCTTCGTTTATGGAAACTCCGGACTGTCACTTGGATAATTGATTTCAGGGGCCCCTGCTCTTGCTGAGCAGGCTAAGTTGTCCATGCGTCAAAGGCAGAACGTGGACGTTTTCTTCCCAGAATCGCCAAGTTAAACTGGTTGCCATTTCCCTGAAGACTGAGATCCTGCGCGTCTTCTCAATTGGTGAAAAGGAGCTCTCCTGTGAATTTCTTACTTGCTTTTTGTGATCAAGTCCTGCATCCCCAACTTGGGAATGTCCCTGAACCCCTCCGAGTCTCTGTTGTCATCTATGGACAATGCAGGGGACTGAGCCTCCCTCTGAAAGATCTGTTGGGAAGATAAAATGATCTTTCCACACCTTCTCTGCTCCCTGGAGGGAAAGCACTTGATCCAGGGTAGCAGGTCGTAAGCCGGTGGCCTGCAGATAGGTCTTATTTACCCTAGCGTGGATTAGTGACATTTTGCTTCACTATTATTTACAAATCAGGAGGTTTCCCGGAGAAACCTGCATTCTGGCTTCTCTTGGAATATCAGAGGCTCCTGAGGCCCTGGGCCCACGTTCCTGCCTGGCCATCTCTGCCGGAGTGAGGAAGAGCCTCCCCGTGCTCTGTCCCCAGGGGCAGGGCACGTGCTCTCCGGTCAGCCTCCGGCCCGGCCCACCTACACTCACTCGTGCTGCTTGCTCCAGGCCCCCGGAGGCGGCCGAGCTGCATGGCAGATACCACATCCGTGCTTTGTCGTCTCAAATGTAGGAGGAAGCGGTGGGATGATGTCCAGCGGTCACTGTCAGGGTGCTGTGATTGACCATGCCTGCGAACGCCTCTTCCTTCCTCGAGGCCAGGGTTTGACTCCGGGCCACACGCTTGCACTGTGTTTGCCACCCTGGGAAGGGCTCTTCCCGCTGCGCTCCGGAAACCGCAGCTGTGTGGAAGTGTCAAGTGCAAGCGTCTGGAGGGCAAGACCGGACCTTTGACCGAAGGGTCTGACTGAGGAGTTTGTAGGACGGGAATATGGAAATGGCCTTCTTCCCAAACTCGCCTAGCGACTGTGGCGAATACCACCAAGTGGCGCCCTGAAACCCCGAGAGCGCACTTGGCACGGCCAGGTTAGGGAAGGGGTGGTGGACAGACTTGTGACTCTGGATATGAAAGAGGTGTCTTTGCTGCTCTGGGCTTTTGTCTGGGGTCAGGGCCTGGGGGCCAGAGGGGGACTTGGGCCGGGATGCCATGGCGTTAGGAGTGGAAGTGTGTGCGCCTCTCCCAGACTGAGCGACAGACCCGGAGGAGTAGGGCATAAAACTTGCTGGGACTGCCCTGCTGGCCTGGGGGAGGGGGCGCTCCTCTACTGGCTTCTTTCTAGATGCCCTGGCTTCGGTCGAGCCGTACGAGTCGTACCACCTCTTCTTCATCCCAGCCTCTCCTTTCAGTTGCTCCACTCCCAGGCTCCGGTCTTGTTTCCTGCTGCAGTTTCCACCCCACCCCACCCTGCTCCCGGGTATTGCTGTTTCTGAAGATGAGTTGTGGAAGCCTGGGGGTTCCTAGTGGAGGTATAGCAGGCCGGTGCCCGGACTCGAGAGGCCATCGAGAAGCCGAAGGAAAGGCTTGCCCGGCTGGCCCCAACCCCCAAGGGCGTCTCACCGTGCCTGGTTCTGGTCAGCAGTCGGCACGTTTTGCCATAGTTAATGAAAGCGAGTTCCGTCTCCCCATGTTACACTCGGCTGCGTGGGACAGGGTCTGTCGGGTTCACCGTCTCCTCTGCAGTCGCTGTCACTAGCCAGTAAGGGCCTGTTTGGGGAGTCGAGTGTGGAATGTCCCGTGGTGGTGCTTGGGGGGCGTTGGGGATCCCTCTGGGGAGTCAGACGTTGCCGTCTTTTGCTTCCTTATTTGACAACCTGAAAGCATTGTAGGAAGAGGGAGTAGGTATTTTTACCTCACGCTTTTCCCCAGTCATTGGGGTGTGGTCATTTGGACCCATTTTATCCAGGTGTTGTGCACTCTTGGGATGTCCAAGGCACTGTCTAAGGGGTTTTTGAGGGTACTTTAGAAATCCGCTTTTAGGCCCCAGGGGTCCTGGCATCCAAAAGAGCCCAAGAGCAGGTGAGTCCGTGGTTGGGGTGGTCTCCAGCCAGCAGGGCCTGGAGACCATTGCAGTGCTTCCCAGGCAGGGCTCGGTCAGCCCTTCGCTGACCGCTGGGCAGGTGGGGCTACAGCCCCCTCTGCGGTCCTGCTGTTCCCTGGGAGGCCGAGGGAGCCAAGAGACACCCCAGTTCTCCTCAGCACCTTCCAAGAGACGAGTGTCCGTATAACTAGGCCCTCCCTTCATCCTCGTGCCGCCGCAGGCTGGATCCTCATCGACCGGTGTGGGAAACACTTTGGTACGATACTCAACTACCTTCGTGACGGGGCGGTCCCCTTGCCCGAGAGCCGCCGGGAGATCGAGGAGCTGCTGGCAGAAGCCAAGTACTACCTGGTCCAGGGCCTGGTGGAAGAATGCCAGGCAGCCTTACAAGTAGGTATCCCCCTTTCTCCCCATAAGGGTGGGGAGGTGCTGGGCCCACCTGCCTTTTTCATTTTCCTCCTCTACAAAATGGGGGCAGTTCCTCCCTCACTGAGACGTGTGGGTTCACAAGTATCCTGGAGCTCCTCTCTCCTTGGGTCAGGGACCCCTTAGAGGCTTCCCTGTGATGCTCAGGCCACCTAACTGTGCTCAGTCGCCATGGTGCTGGGTCATCTCATGTGTACATTGAAACCCTTCAGTACTGAGCTTTGGGCTGTAAAACTTGATCAGTTTTTTGGACCGATCTCGGGACTTATTCTCACCCCACCAGTCACTGTTGGGAGCCTCATATAATCTCTGCAGACTCAGACACCCCTCACTCCTCAGCTGCACCTGGGTTAGGATCATTGGGGTCAACTCTGGTGATAGCAAAATCCCTGTAAAACCAAAATGCTTCTAGACATAGCTGGCGGCCATTTATTTCAGGCAAAATTCCAACATGGTCGAGGATCAGAAGAGTTCCTTCATAATGCCACAGGAATTGGATTTGTATGCACGAGGCTCTTGTTTGTGCCTCCCTCGGGCCACATGTCTTCTGGCCCTCCGCTGGAGCCGTTCCCATACGGCCTGGCTCCTTGGCGATCTGTTGTTTCCACGTACCCCCTCGACCTGCGAGTCTGTGAACTCACCGTAAATCTGACTGAATGCTGTAGCCTTTACTTTTGTATTTTTATTTCATTTTTATGCCGGTTTAATGTTGGTTTATTTTGCGAGAGAGCACACATGCGTATGTGCGTGAGAGAGGAAGGAGCCGAGAGAGGGAGAGAGAATCCCAAGCGGGCTCCGAGCTGTCAGTGCAGAGCCTGACTCGGGGCTCAACCTCACAAACCGTGACGTCATGACCTGAGCCCAAGTCAGGAGTCGGATGCTTAACCGACTGAGCCACCCAGGCACCCCTCGTTTTTAGGTTTGTTAAAGTAACGTGTGTACGTCGTATCTTTCTCCTCTGTTAATTCTTTCAACAGTTCTATTTACTTTCTTACGCTATCTATTGACATCTCAGTTTTCAATGTCATCTGCTGTTGCGAGACAAAAATTAAATTTTTGCTCATGCAGTACCACCAACCACTACCAAACTTAGGTACCCATATTCCTTCTCCAGTTTTCCAATATAGTGTTTATCACAGCTTTGGTTAAATCAGTATCCGGAGTTTACATTGTGATGTCTAAATATTGTTAACAGTTGAGCCACAGAGTATACAGTGAACATTTTTATTGTGCAACTTTTCGGTTTGCCAGAGTTAGTGACTGCCTCATTGTTTTGTCTGCTTGGTTTTCTAAGTACATATCTCTAATTGATCCCTAAATGGTCAGAAAGGTCGGTCTCCTATTGGCGTGTTTAGACACACCAGCGAATCGGTTTCATCTTTGTCTTAGAGACACGCCCTCCAGGTTCCCTTTCTGTGGTTTCTGTTAGTCTGAAGTTAAACCTCTAGGACTGACCTCCTCCCAGTTTCTGTCGCTTTTATCTTTCTGTTCCACTTTCTCAGAGGTTTTCTTCAATTTTATCTTTTCAACCCTTCTGTTGAACTTTTCATTTCTACTATCATATTTCTAATTTCCCAGAGCCTTTTCATGTTCTCTGAGTGCTCTTTCTTCTCTAGAACGCTGATCTTATTTCATAGGATTCCGTATGTGCTCTCCTTCATCTGATAATACTATTTGTAGTTTTCTTTCTGCTGCATTCATCGTTGGGCTCCTTCCCTTACTTTTTCTCTTTGTTTTGGTTTCAGTCTCACGGTTGAGAGGCTTTCCACATATAATCTGATGATCTTGGGTCTGTTAAAATTCACGAGTAGAGTTCTGAAAAGCCGTGTGTGCGGTGCATGGGTGGGCCTCGTCCAGTGGGCTTCGTTGGCGGATGAAAAGGCTTTTTCCGTGGGAATCCCCAGTGTCCGAGTCTGTAAGCCTTTTCCTGGACGGATCAGCTCCCCGTGGAGGAATCCGCCACTCTCCTACCTGGTGGCTAGAAGCCTGACTGGCGGCCTTCTGCCATCTGAGTAGGGGAAGGAGCTGGGAGCTGGGGCTCACCGTTTAGTGTGTCGACCGCTCGCTCGATCCCCTTGTTTTTAGAAGAGTGGCTCGGCCCTGTCCTCACCCATACAAACCACTCCACGAAGATAGACCTTTCTTCTGCCAGGGGTAGGGGATGTACTTGGGGTGTCTCACTGGTGTTTCTGCTGACTGGTTAGCAATCTTCTGCTCTGGCCCTTTGCTCACCAGCCTTCACGGGTGTTCTTTGAGAAGCTCTAGGATTCTTTCTCTTCGGTTATTCCTCATCTGCTTCCCAGGCTCAGATTTTTGACGGCTGACCTCCCCTCTCCCATTCTTCTCCGTAGGTTTATACTTTTTAAGTTCTTCCACGGTGGTTGCAGTGGGGTTTTAGGTGTTTCTACACAATCATATTCCATCCGCTGTGTTTAGAGTTTATTTTCAAGTGGCTCCCTGGGTGGCGGAAGCATGTCCTCGTTGTTAGGGTTTACTGAGCGCCCTGACCAAAGAGCAGACTTCCTAGAGAACTTGACCCTTGGCCGTCCCCCTCCCCTTCCCCCTGATTCACTGGTGGTAAGAATCCTCCTCTCTTCCCGGCGCTGGTGGCCCCACCTTCCCTCGCCAGCACCTGTCTTTACCCAGCAGTCCAGCTTAAACAATCCGCTGCTGGGCAGGCCTCCCAGGCTGAAAGCGTGTTTTGTTCCAGCAGAACAAAGATACTTATGAGCCTTTCTGCAAAGTTCCTGTCATCACTTCGTCCAAGGAAGAGCAGAAACTTATAGCAACGTCAAATAAGGTACGTTGGAAGCACCCTTGTGGCGTGTCTTTGGCTACCGAAATCATGAGTAAGTTTTGAAATTGAAACCTGTAGAAGTCCCTGAGCAAGGCCTGAGAAGGGGTGAAGAATGGGAACCTGTTCCCCTAGAATGGGCTCCTGCAGTCTCCCTCCCCACGCACCCACCCCCGCCGCCCGCCACCCCCCGCCAGCCTGCAAGCTGTGCTCAGCTGCCTTCTGGGCCTGGTGGCAGGGCCCAGCTCCGCGGGAAGCCCACGGTCCTCTGTACCTCAGCTCCAAGTGACTCTCTTCTTTCTTTTTTAAAACAACCTGCAGCCAGCCGTGAAGCTGCTCTACAACAGAAGTAACAACAAATACTCGTATACCAGGTAAGGTGTCACCGATAAAGGCCACCCACCCTCGCCAGGAAAGCTTCTCACGTGGGCCAGGCCCGGCTCCTCTTTAACCTTCCAGTGAGGGTGGCTGTCTGTACTGGGAGGGTGCCCAGGGTAACAGACGACAGGAGACTGAATTCACATACACCGTGGCCTTTTGAAGTATATAATTCAGTGATTTTTAGTGTATTTACAGACTTGTTTAGCTATCACCACGTACCCACATGGTGAACATTTTCGTCACCTCAGAAAGAAGCCCATTGTCAGTCACTCTTCACTCCCCGCCACCCCCGACCCCTGGCAGCCGCTGGCCTCCACTTGTGTGGCTTTGCTCACTCTGGACACTTCATGTAAACGGGATCATACAACACATTACCTTTTGTGACTGGCTTCTCTCCCTTAGCACGTTTTCAAGGTTCATCCTCGTGGCGTGTGTCAATACCTCCTTCCTTTTTATGGCTGAATAATATCCCATCATCTGGGTATCTCCTGCATCTTGTTGATCCATTCATCAGTTGATGGGTGATCAGGGTCGTTTCCGCTTTGGGGGGGCCATCGCAAACGCTGCCGTGAGCATTCGTACCACATTCGTAACACACGTTGTCTGTGTGGTCAGAGGTCTTCGTCTCTCTTGGGTGTACCTAGGAGCCGAATTGCTGGGCCCTTTGGTAACCCTAGCTCTAGTCATTTGGGGACCTGCCAAACTGTTTTTCCAAAGCAGCTGCACCATTTCACATTTCCACCAGCAATACATACAGGTTTCTAGAATGCCTTCTGGCTCTTGGGACCATGTGTTCTCAGTTGAGGGGGTATAATGAGGTTACTCAAGACCCAGAAATTGACCCAAGATGAAGAGTCTCCTTTGGACAGCTCTGTCCTGCCACTCGTGGGGCTCCCTCCACATTCCCCACCTGGTGCCTGTGCACCCACAGGCGCCAAGTTTTTCACGTTTCATCTCCTGCAGAGCCCAGCTAAGCGGCCGCCCTGGCAGGCTGATTGAGAGCACAGGCTTAGGGACTAGAGCTGTCTCTTTGGAGGCCTGGCTCTGGCATTCTTGGCCTGGGGCAGTTACCTGTTTTCTCTGGCCCTCCCTTTCCTTGGTGGAGCAGCGGGGCCTGCGGGGCCCTTCTCCTGGGCTCCTTGGGAGGTTGAAAAGGGATGTGGAAACAACTCAACTGCAGTTAGTACCGGTCTGCGGTCACCTAATCAAATGCTCTTTTGCAGCAATTCTGATGACAATATGTTGAAAAACATTGAGCTCTTTGATAAGCTCTCTCTGCGCTTTAATGGAAGGGTCCTGTTCATAAAGGACGTCATCGGGGATGAAATCTGCTGCTGGTCCTTTTACGGGCAGGGCCGCAAGATCGCTGAGGTTTGCTGTACTTCCATTGTCTATGCCACGGAGAAGAAACAGACCAAGGTAAGCCTTTCGGGGAACGGCTCTGGGTGACTGGTCAGAATACGTACCACTTCCCTTTCCCCTTGAGCAAAATAAACCTAAAGAGGGAAAAGCTTTGAAAATGCTTTCCTTGATGCATGACTGCTCATTGTGAAAACATTCATTATCTTTTGGGCCCCAGAGAGTCGCTTGTAGGTCTTGCAGAAACAGAATGGCCTCTGCTTTCTGACGGTGAGCAAATAGGGACAGTCATACTGCACCTAAGTCCCTTGGCTGTAAAGGTCGATTCAGATGTATCCTCACGCCGCTGTCCCCTCGCTACCTGCATCATCTCCTGTCGGTGACGGGACAGGGCCTGTGTTGTTCCACAGCACCACCATCTCCCACCAGCGTGGCCCCATCCCATCTCAGTCATCAGAGGAACAGTGCTGCCTTCAAGAGCTTGACCTTGGCTTTCTAGTCACAACCTATGACTTCTGCCGTCTGTCTGCCCTCTGACCCACTGACCTGGAGTGGCCCTCCACCCTCGCAGGGCCTGCGTGGCATTCCTTAGCTCCCGTGCTTGTTGGCTTCCTTCTGAGCACACAACTTCCTGACTTATCTGGACTCTGTGGATCTACTTCCGTATCATCCTCTCCAAACCAATAATGCCGCAAGGCGCTGTTGGAGGTGCGGTGCTCTGTTCGTTGAACTTCGCTCCCTGGAGGTCTTATGCTTACTCTTCTTGGGCTCTGCAACTCGGTTTTCTTCCTCTTTTCAAAACAGAAATCCCCCAGTACACTCTGTCACTTCCCTCGGATCCTTGCTAAGGGAACCCCAATCACCAGGGACCTGCAGGGTCTGCCAGGCAGGTTCATGCACAAGACTGTGCATCACCCACTTGGGGTACTGTCCTCACTAAGGCCCCGGGAGCGCACAGTTGTGTGTGATTCTAGAGCTAGCCTGGGCAGAAAAGGCAGAGAGAATGTGAGGCCACACAGTAGAAACCAGAGTTGTAAACATTTTTTTTTTAACTTTTAAACCATTTTGTCATTGGTATTTGTAATACATCCTGAAAGATACATACTAGTTAAAGATAGCCAAGGAGGGAAAACCCCTAAGGTTCCTTTTTTTTCAAAGAGGGCAGGGAGACCAGATTCGCTCGCTTCTCTTTACCACATCAGCAAGACACATGCCTCTTTTCTCCTGTGAGCTTTTTTTTAGGGCTGTGAATTCCATCTGTCATTGGCTTCCCCGCCTTGTCAGTTTGGTTTTGTTATATACACGGGTTGCCTTTGTCCTTGGATAATAACAGGACGATCATCATATTAATCTGATTAAGCTTTAAAATACTGACTTTACGTTTTTAGAGTTTGACAGGGAACAAGGGATTCAGAGGCCTCATGATCTGATCCCAACTATTTATAGATTAGCTAACAGGTTCTGGAGTGAGCTTGTGCTTGTGTTTTTGAAATAGGGTAGAGGTGGGGCTCAGGGTGAGGGGCCCGGGCCCCTAGCCACAGCTCCCTTTGCTCTGCTGTCGTGTCCCCAGGGCTCTTTCCTTTCTCCAGGAGAAGCACACGCCTGACTTTGCAGGGGGTCATGTGGGGGCACGCCTGCCCCCACAAGGCCTTTGGGACTATGCCTTGGGGCTGACACTCGTATTTTGTTGTTCCAAGTAACTGTACAGATGTTCCTTTTGGGGGTTTTTGTAGAATCGCAGTCCCTATTGGTACAGCATGCCAGGTGCTTTACTAATTCCTTTAATCATCTAACTGTCTTTTGTGGTTAAGCCGGAAAGGGTTTGGCTTGCTGAAATTAAAGTTTAAGCAGATAGTTAATACGTATGTTGTCCATTTGGTTCTTGATTCCGACTCACTAGGGACTCGGTGTTAATAAAGCACAGAGCTGTGCCCTTTATTGGTCTCCTTTGTTCTGTTGTTCAGACTGACACTTCTATTGCTCTATTTTCAATTTCATGGACTCTTTTCTCTGTCCTCCCCATTCTGTTATTGAGCCCTTCCAGTAAGTGTGTGTGTGTGTGTGTGTGTGTGTGTGTGTGTGTGTGTGTATCTTGGGTGTTGTATTTTTCAGTAACAATTTTCGTTTGGGTCTTCTATCTTATGTCTCTTTGCTGAGACCTCCTGTGTTTGCATTCGCCTTAACAGAGTTCACCCTTCCTTGTGGAGATGTTTTTATAATAGCTGCTTGCACGTCTTCATCAGGTAATTCCAGCATCTTGTGGCCTCTTGGACTTGGCATCTGTTGATTCTGTTTTCCCTCAGGAGTTGAGATTTTTCTGGTTCTTCATTGATGACACAAACTTTCGAATTGTATCCTGGATATCCCGAATGTTAGAGGGCTTTTAGATCTTGTTAAATCGTAAGGAGAACGTTGTTTTTTTGTTTTTGTTTTTGTTTTTTTTATTGTTTTAGTAGGCAGTTGGCCCACTTGGGTTCAGGTCACAAGTGCCAGCCAGCTGTGGGTTGCCGTTCCAGTGACAATCCGGTTTTCAAAGCCTTCAGATCCGTGCTGCACTGAGGGCCAGTCTGTGCCTGTGGCACCGGTCTGGCCCATTGCTTTGTTCTGTGCGTGCTGTCGAGGGACGGATCGGCAGCCAGGCTCAGGCCCAGGAGTTCCTGCACAACCCCAAGCAGCTGCTTTCCTGAGCGCCCTTCTTTCACAATCTTGTGCTGTTTCCTGGGGCTCCCCTTTTTCAGCCCTCTGACCGGAGACTAGGGCTTCAGTTCCCTGCCCTCCCACACACCGCCTGTGACTGTATCCTTACCCGCAGCCTAACGGCATAAAGAAGCTAGAGGAAAATACTAGCCCAGATTCACTCCATCCCGATGAGACCACAGTTCTCATTAGAAAGGAAGGTTCCCCTTCAGAGTTTTGACTCCCACAGTCTCCAGCCATTGCTGCCACAGGATTTGGGCAGGGAGGGTTGGGGTGCAAGAGAATGGAGAAAAGAAAAAGGAGAACCGAGAACTTTCCTCCAGTCTCTGGGTATCGGGTGGCCCCTCTGGAGCTCTCTGAGCTGATGCCAGTTTCAGGGTCACAGGCTGCATTGACCTCCCTCTGGACAGTACTGGTGGGGGAGAAGGCATAACCTCACTACTGGTTAGAGGCTACTCCGAACTGGTCCCTCCCCCCAATCCAGCCGCCACTATTTCTGTGTCACAGCCCTCAGCCACTGCGTGCTCTCTCTCCTGGTTGTGTGGCCTCCGTGGGAAATAGAGTAGAATGCACTCTCCCCATTTCTCTCAGAACCTCCGAATCCTGCCCTTGAAAGCCAAGTCTCTGTGAGTCAAGTGCCCGGGACCCTCTTGTGCAGCCCCACTCTGGTTCACGGCGCCGTAGCCCCGAAGGGTACCAGGCAGTCACAGAGCTTCGCCACGCAGGAGGGGTCATGTCCTTTCCAGCTGGTCCCTGCTCACAAAGAGTACTGCTGCCCTAAAGGCTGCTCCGAGGTGTGGAACAGCTCCACGGGAACAGGTCTGTTGTTAGTAGAAACATGCTGGAAACGACCTAATCGGTTAACTGCGTCGTCACAGTCTTACAGCCCCCTGATGGGGAAGGATCGCCTGTGTTAGGGGAAAGCAAAAGGTGAAGTGTGTGTGGTGGGTCACCCTTTGTTCTAAAGCGTGTGAGTGTGTGTGTGTGTACAGACATACCTTTATCTGCACCGCGTCCCTTTTGTGTCCTGTGTGTCAAGCACCGTGTGTAAGTATTGCCTATTGAAAATCAAAACTACTTTGAAAATAGTAAGGACAGCCTTAAACGCCATCCTAGGGGCCTGAAGGGGCCAGCGGCCCTGCTGGCAACCCCAGGAGGCAGCGGAGGTGGTGGGGTGTGTGTGTGATGCTAACCTACCTGCCTTGTGTTTTGTGGGGGTGCAGGTGGAGTTCCCAGAGGCCCGGATTTATGAGGAGACCCTCAATATTTTGTTGTACGAGGCCCAGGACGGCCGAGGACCGGACAACGCGCTCCTGGAGGCCACGGGCGGGGCGGCCGGACGTTCCCACCACCTGGATGAGGACGAGGAGCGGGAGCGGGAGCGGATCGAGCGCGTGCGGCGGATCCACATCAAGCGCCCCGACGACCGGGCGCACCTCCACCAGTGAGCGAGCAAGCGAGCCGCCTCCCTCCTCCCTCCTCCCCTGCTCTTCACTCCGATTCCTGCAGGCTCCGGGCGCCTTCCACTTCCCCCGGAGTCTGGAGATACTTTTGTAATAAGCCAGATGATGATTTTGATATTTTTTGACCAGGTGACTGTCTTTCCCCAGGTGAATGCACCCTTGTTCTTAAGTGGAGTCCAAGGTCTCCCCCTTCCGTGGGAAACGGGGAATCCTTGGAGCCAGGCTTTCTTGGTTCTCGGAGAAAAGTATGAATGGGTGTGAAGCGGACGTGAGAGATGTTGTCTGCAGTATTTATTTTTGTGGGTGTGGATTACCTATTTGAGCTTCGGGGCGGCATTCCCTCGGGGGTCAGTTGGACGGCTCCGAGGGGGATCCTGCCAGTTAGTTGGTGGCCACCAGACGTTCTTGTGAGCATCCTGTGTCGTCGTCCTCCAGCCCAGCACACTGGCTGCCGGTTCCTGTGTGCTATAGACTGGGCGGCCCTCCGGGGTTTTGCTGGAAGCACCCGCGGCGGCAGGATTTTTGCGCCTATGGCTTATTGGTAAATGATTGCAGTTTGTGGCGTGGAAGATAGGACCTATGAGCTTCGTGCCTCTAACTTGTCCTGGCGTAACTCTGGGTCAGGAGCAGGCCTGTTGCCCCCTGGGCTGACGTGTGGTCCGTGCTCATTGGGACCCCGCATGCCTGGCCGAGGGCAGAGCCGTCCCTGGCAGGGAGTGCTGGGGTCCTGGCCCTCTCCCTGATTCCTGCCCCTTCTACCTGGCCTCCTTGTTGAGCAACCCCGTTCTGGGAAGGCCATCTGGCCTGGTTACAGGTGGAGCTCACACCGCTGCTTCCTGGGATCCATTCCTCCCCCTTCGCCCTTCTTCTCTGTTAAGCTGGGCTGTCTCGGGTAGAAGCCCTGCCTTTTGCTTAGAAAGTGGACGTGGCCCGGACTCTTTCCCCTCCCCGAGCCTGGCATCCAGGCAGGAAGACCACCCCCACCAACAGTCTCAGGGCACCCATCACCTGGAGATCCCTTTTTTGTCTTTGCCTCTGATTTTTACAGTATGGAGTGGCCACAGGGAGCAAGAGTTTGAGGCTGTGCACATCCTTTGTGGTCCAGTTAAGTGTGTGTGTTCATGTTTAAGGGACGTGTGCGACTGTGGACGGGGATGTGTGCTTGTGGGGCGCAGGGGGCCCGCGCTGGAGCCCGGCTGTCTGCACGGTTGCTTGTGCAAGACGGACGTTCTCTGTGACCTACCTCCCAGTCTCCTCTGCGCCCACGAAGGGACAGAAGTGCGTTGTGGCTGATGTGGCTGCGACTAGATTAGGTAGAGTAGTTAAGGGAGATGTGAACGTGTGTGACGGAATGGATGGAATTTGTTTTTCAAGGGAAATGTTACTGTTTTATACCAAAGGTGTTAACGTGGGCAGCCTTTGACACCATGTATTCCAAAAAAAAAAACGAGTTTATATTTTGAAATGGTTTTTACAGGTTAGGCTTTGCACATATTGCCTTTCTTGAGACCTAGGCCTTTATTTTGTATCCAGCAGCAAAGCCTGCAATAAAACTCTAAAACAATCTTGATTGAACCTAAAAATCATGTACGGGGTCGATGCTTTTTAAAGTGTTGTGTGGGAGACTTTCCTACTAAGCCATTTGGATTTTATTAAGTGCACAGGAAAGGGGGCTTAAACACGGTTTCGTAAATATTTTATATACCGTTTAAGTTTTAAACACCAACCCTGACATTTGGGTTGAACTTTTTTAGAACGTTAAAGCGAGTGTCCGTTCTGATGTTTTCTGTAGGAATGGAAAAGCCATCCTATGAATTGTGTTTTTAAATCTTTCTGTGAAGAGTACGTCTGTGGAACAATCGGATTTGTTTGGGCTTCTACACTGTCTGAGCTAATGTTTCTGGCAGTCTTTACACTTTTCCTACACTTTGCACTTGTTCATTTGGAGTCTTTGCTTTCTCGGGAACGGAACAGGTTCCCGAAACATTCCATGGTGAGGGAGGCCGTTAGCTGCGGAGCCAGGAGCTGACAGGAAGCGTTGGCTGGTCCAAGCTCTGTCGGCAAACGTATTCTATAAGGAACTGATTTTTATGCGAGCACGAAGGGCAAACCAAGGTCAGTATTTATACTGAAGAACCATCTAAGTAAAAACACTGGCCTAAGATTTGGTAAAGTGTTTTATTACAGTGTAAGAGCTTACAGTTAAAGTAGAACAGCTTTGGGTCCCGTGTCCAGAGGTCCTTGTTGGTGGGGACCGGGGGCCTGTGCCCAAGACAATCCTGGGGTAGCCTCTTCTGTCCTCCTCCCCCACCCCAGGGTAGCAGGTAATCAGCCTGGCTGAGGGGCAGGTACCCCCCCCCCTCGGCTTACGCGTGCTGGCTTGCACCTCACAGCAGCTGCTCGGGACCCAAGTGTCAGCACCGCTCCTTCTGCCCTCCCTTAGGGCTCCACCCAGCGTCACCGAAGCGCGCCTGTGTGTCACTAATCTTTCTCTCTGTGCTATGAGAAGAAATGCTATAAACGTTAGAAGTAGTCACTGTATGTTGTACAAGCATTTGTGGACGTGTAAAATAAAAGTTACGTAATGCTTCTGTTGAGATGTTTCCTGCGTTCGTTCTGTAGTGTTTGAATTTAAACACTGCGTCTTGGGGAGAAAGTGAATCAGCTGGGGCTGCTACCCCTTTGATTTTAATACTAGGGAGGGAAGGGGGTCGGGGGAGGGACAGGCGCTTCGGCCTCCAGCTGGGGAGCTGCGTCAGAAACGTTAAGGCATCGGGTGTGGTGAGTTCCACTGAGTTAAAGCAAAATTCAAATTCTGCAGCTTTATAAAATTTTCCTCTCAGATCATACATGCTCCTGTGTTCCTCGGGACCACTGCGGCCCTGACAAAGGCAGAGCATCTGTCGCCCACCGTATAATGACGTGTTCACATACCCATACGTGTCCAGGTAGGGACACGGAACACCATCCCCGTAGGCGACTTGAGGTTGGGCCCCTGAAGAGTTGACTTCGGCGCCCCAGGGCAGCAGAGAGCCGGGAGGGGGACAGGTGCCCCTCAGTCTCTTCAGATGGGATCTCCTTTTGCTAGAGCTGCTGTCCCCTTTCCCGGAAGGTGTAGCCACCTGGACAGCCCCCCGCTTCCTGGGCGCTTTCCTCAGCCGGAGCACAGCCAGCCCCCGGAGAGGTCAGGAGGAAGTCGTGCGGACAGACACCTTGGGAGAGAGACCGCACTTAGGTCAGAGCCCTCCTCTCACCCGGTGGTCCGCAGCGGGGCAGGGGGTGTGGACCAGCCTGGAGAAGCCAGCCCCACCGGACTCGAGGCAGAGGGCATTTAGAAAAGGAAATGGGATTTAGAAAAGGCATCTTCAGCCCGAGCCAGTCAGGCCGTGTGACTCTCAGGACAGAATTACTCCTGAAGGTCATGCCCCTAAGACAGCACATAGACTGAAAACTCTGAGGCTTTAAATTCAAAATAGTACTTAAAGATTTCAACTTCTCCCTGAAGGCGTTTAGGGGCAATTGGATCACAAAAGCCTTTTGGGTGCTGTTTACATCCACAGTCCCAGTTTCATGGTTAAGGGGATATAAATTAAAATAGGTACAAGACATTCCATATGTAGACAGACCGTTTCCTCGTTCGTTTGTATCAACTAAGGATACCGGGTGCATATATACAAAAGACATCTTAAAACACTCAGCCCGCTCAGGTTGTAATGGGCTATTTCCTAGCAAAATTGGATCAAACTAAGCTCTGTGTACTCCTGGTACAGTGAGGCCTGTTGAGATGCCGTGTCCAGCATGGTCGGACCCGGGAGGGAGGGCACAGCATGGAGCACTCCAGCTGGACTTGATCCGACCAGAGTGCTCACATTCCAAAGCCCCGGCCACGCCCCCGCCAAGCCAATTACATCACCGCGTCTGAGACTCAGGCACTGGTACTTTCGGAAACTCACAGGAGACTCCAATGTTGGAAACACGAATGAGAACCCCTCTGATAAGGCGTAAGGCCTTTACCAGGCAGTGAAAAGGTGACTTCGACCTTTAAAACCGAGAAGGACTGAACGTCAACTTCCTGTTTACTCACAACCAAAACTGGGAGGTGAACTTGCTTTTTTTCCCCCCTTTTCATTCATTGTGTGAATCTGTACCCCTGGTATCCATACCTTCCTGTTTTGATACAGAATCGAGAATAGAGGGAGAAATGAACAGTCTATATTCTCATGTCAGACTGCTCACGCCTCCCTCCCCCGCCAGCCACTCACCACGGTTAACTGTCCGTTTTTATCTTTATAGATTTGCTCTTCTGGTCCCGTGTCGAAAACGATCGTGCCTTCTTTTCCAGGACTAATATAAAACCGTAAACTGAAAATACACAAAATCATCCATTACTGACCTTTTCTTTTTTGCCTCTTGTCTACAAAAAAAATTCGCTTATGCAGCTTTACTGGTTTCAAGATCAAATTCCTATTTTATTAGAGTTTTATTTTACTTGAGTACCCAAAAGACCACCAGTTCCGTAACAGAGAAAACTCACCACGTTCCTGTGGTTACTCTCAAATCACTTTAGCACGTTCAGTCCTTCAAGGGGCCAATTTGATGTCTGAAGAACCACCTACATATGGTCCTGCTGAAACTCTCGTGGCTGGGGGGGGCGGGTCTCCCTGTGAGGTCCCGCAAAACCAACCCCACTCTGTGCCCCCCTCTTGTACATAATGGATTTGCTCAGGACATTAGGGTGGCTTCAGACCTAATAGGGGCAGCATGAAGACCTGCTTTCCCAGGAGCTGGGGGGTGGGGGAGGGGGGGCACAGCGCCTCCTGATTCCGTCTGCGAATGAGAATCCAGCATGGCCTCAGGAACCCCCACGCCATCCCCAACCAGCCAGGTGACACTGGGCCTGCTGCTTAGCCGCTTTGTGCCCCTGACATGGAAAACGTGGCCATCCTTCAGAGCTGAGAGAATCGAGTAAGAGCACCCCGTCTACGTGTCAGATGGTTTTCTTTTCCGTCCTAAAGTAATGTTGCCACTCTGCCTTCATCAGTTGTAGGCAGTCTGCAAAGCTCCGGGCCCACCGTGCTCGGCCAACTGTCCCGAACAACAACTATCAACAGGAAGGGTGTGGCCGTCACCTGCTCTGGCCCAGAGGTCCACCTTTCACTCAGTGACAGCTTCCCTCAGGAACATAAGGCCCTCCTTGGAGAACTGGGATGTGAGACCACGGTTCCCTATGTGAGTGAGCGATCGCTGGGCAAAACCACCTACCTCCCCTGGACGACATTGACAATGTTCCCCCGCTTCACCAGCATGACGAGCTTAGTAATGGCTTCAAAGATATGTTCACACTGTAAGACGGCATCCCCCTGAGAAGGAGACATGGCTGTTCCAGAAGCAGTGGCTTAAAAGGTTTTTTTAGTTTTTATTTTTGAGAGAGACAGAGTGTGAGCAGGGGAGGGACAGAGAGAGAGAGAGAGAGAGAGAGGGAAACACAGAATCCGAAGCAGGCTCCAGGCCCTGAGCTGTCAGCACAGAGCCCGACGCGGGGCTCGAACTCCCGAACCGTGAGATCATGACCTGAGCTGAAGCCGGACGCTCAACCGACTGAGCCACCCAGGCACCCCGGAGCAGTGGCTCAAAAGGAAAACACCCTCCAATACTGAGGCTCTGCGGCAGGCCACTGAATATCGTGGCGGTGGTCTCCCTCTGTCAGCAGAGACGGGTGGCCGGCAATTACCTTTTGTTTGCTGTCCTCTGGCGACACGTGAATGACCAAGATTCCATCACTGAGGCTGCTGGTGGAGACCCCTTAAGACAGATCCAGAGTTAGGGACCGGGAACCGGACAACTTGAAATCAATGCCGGAAGAAAGAGGAGGCATACCTGGGGGTGCCCCAACCCCATGCTCTTTCCCTCCCAGCTGGGCCCAGCAGGAAGAAGGGCACACTCCAGCAGTGAGCATGCCGTGAGGCTGTGAAGGGCTGTGCTCGGGATACAGCACAGGTCATCGGAGAAGGGGACGGTTATCCAAGCTGGCTACTGGAGCAAAGGGGTGGCCGTTGATATTTATGCCAGAAAGAGAAGCACAGGCCAGGCCCCGGCAGCCCCAGGCTTTAAGGGCACCCTCCACTTCGGTCTTCCACTGGAGGGTGTCTTCTTAACTGGTGTGCCCAGAAGCCAAGTCGACCCCGTGAACAGCCGTACGGTCGCTGGCTTCTTACCTTTGAGTGCCGAGTATGCTATTTTCTGCTTGATTTTGGCAAGTTCCACCACGTAAGCCGCTTTCTGAGTGAGGAGGAACTGCCGCTCCCGCGCCCGGAAGCCCTTCCTGTCGTATTTAATGACCGGGACACCGTACTGCGAAGAGGTGACGGTCACCATGAAGGGAAGGGGACTCCGCGGGCAGAGGGGGCGGAGTACTGAGCTCCTTACTTCCAGCACTCACCTGCTTATCTCTGAGCAGGTATTACCACACAGCGCTTCCTGCCATGGAACCCTGGGGCCTCTCCGTAACCCTGCCACCCCCACCCACAGAGGGACAAAGGCAGCAAGAGCTGAAGTAACCTGCCCAGATGGCGCGTGGCTACTAAGTTGTGCCATGTTGGCAGCCCGCCACATTGCTGCTGCTAGTAGGGGGTGTTTAACGATGAATTTCATGGCTGTGTTTCACTCAATTTCATAGGAAAACCCAACCCGGTTCCTGGAGTGACAGATAAGGACTGTAAGAACAGCAAATAGGTACCTAGGGATCATGCGGGCCCCGCAGTCTTTGTTAATACCCAGAGCATCACGGTTGTGAACCCTGCCCATCCCCACGCACCCCTGCAGTTCAACAGCACTTCCGGACACCCCTCGTACAGAAGACGGACCCTGTTCTCACGCTTCGTAAGGGAATCCTGACTGACGCCAGGACACAACACTTCCCTACCTGGATTTTCTCACTGCTGATGAGTTGAAGTACTTTGGGATTAATGTCTCCTTCATCTGGGGAGGGAATCGGAGCACAGTGAATCGTCAACTAAACGCCATCGTGGTGCAAAAGCCACTGGTACCTGCTGGGTTTACGTCTCTGTGACCAAGACCTCAACTGTGGTCCAGGAGACTCTCCGGAGTCAGGAGTCATCTTCTGACCCTCTAAGCGAGTGCACAAACAGAAGAACGCGCTTACCGATCCGACTGTTGGCGAAGGGCTGGTTTAAGGCTTCTGCATAACCTTCTTTCTTCCCCCTGAAGAGCTCACTTGTAACCACCTTTTGCTGCATCTGGTAACAGAGAGAGGGAAATACAAAAGTGGGAGCCGTGGGGCTCCTTGGGACAGAGGTCCGCGGCACAGCTCACTCTCCGTGATCAGCTATAGAGGCCTCCTCATACCTCTGCCCGGAAATCACAGCACATTCCAGGCTTTGGCCAAAGTGCCCCTAAAAATTATGCTGGCAGAGACTGGAGCTGACACTTCGTGCTGGTCTCTTGCACTCCCTTCCCAGCAGGGGAATTTTCAGAATTTCAGACAGCAGTTTCCTCCTTCTGGGTCAGAGGTCTGCCTGCAAACTCCAGCCCCGGGGGCCAGATCCAGCCTGCTGCCGGTTGTTTCTAAGTTTTTGTTTGTTTGTTTTGCAGCCTGGCTACGCCATTCATTCATGTGTGCTGTCTGGCAGCTTCCGTGCTCTGCTCGCAGAGTCGAGTGACTGCAACAGAGATCGTGCGGCCCGCAGACCCTGAGAGAGGACTCTCTAACGCTTTACGGACCTGCAGACAAGCAGACACAAAACCCTCCAGCAGAGAAGGGGCCTGGCCTTCCGTGCAGCGCCGGGGCCATCTGGGCTGTGTTCCCATGGCAACAGCGTGAGCAGAAGCACTTGCAACATCTGTTCTTGAACAAGGGGCTCTGACCTAAGTGGCCTTCTTGTGTTCCATCCCCAACACGTGCAGGAGGCATGAGCCCGGTGTGACCCCTGGGCTCCCAGGTGAGATGGTGGGCGAGCACCGCCCACCCCGGACCTTCCAGCACCTTCGCCACCCACCCGGGCTCCCCGTCCTTACCAGCGCCTTCCTCTCGGCCGTGATCCCGCGACAGTACTTCCGAACCAGGTTCCTGGTGCACATCTTCCTGAGCAGGTCCGAGGCCTGTGTGAGAACACATGCACTTCTGCTCTACCTGCCTCACTCAGACCCAGTCTTGGGCTGTGGCCACCAAGACAGAGGCTCTGAAAGCAAGTCGAATTCAGTCCGATTTCAAGTACAGCATTAGTATTTTTTTTTTAAGTTTATTTACTTTGAGAGCAAGCGAGCATGAGCGGTGGGGAGGGGTGGGGTGAGGGGGGGGAGGGAGGGAGGGAGGGAGAATCCCAAGCAGGCTCCTTGCTGTCAGCACGGAGCCTGACGTGGGGTTTAATCCCATGAACCTCGAGATCATGACTTGAGCTGAAACCAAGACTTGGACGCTTAACTGACTGAGCCACGCAGGCGCCCCAGTACAGCATTAGTATTTTAAAGTCCGAGAAAGCAACTAATCTTCCAATCTTGTGTTATCTTTTCACTGTTGCTAAGCTACTGCTTCTCGAACTTGAATGTGTTTGAGTCACCCGAGGACCCAGCTAAAAAAAAGACTCTAAGAACTGCTCAGTGGACCTGGGCTGGGGCCCGGTTTCTTACAGAGGCCCCCACTGTGCTCCAGACACAGGATCCTTGGACCTTCTTTTGAGAAACGCTGTTCTAGGTGACAGTCATTATAAGCCATCAGGAAGGCCACACCAAGGGTAGCGCTATTCGCAAATGCTCCGTGCTAACCAACCTCCATTGGCTTGAGAGTACGAATTGAGAGGAGCGACATTTCTCATAGGACAGCCTTGCAAAGAAGTGCTTCGCTAAAGCCTTTCGAGCCAAGGGTGGTGGCACAAAGATACACCAGCTGAGCCCCGTCGCTGCCCGAGTCACTTGCAACAACAATCTGCGGGTCATCCTCACATTTTCTAAAATGCCAGGAGGCCTCAGCCAGCTCTTGTCCAAGACGTTCTTTGGGACATGATACCGGAGGGTCAAGAGGTAATTCTTCCGCACGAACACGATAAACTCCTCATTGTCCGGGCAGAGAGGCTTGTTGCGGTTGATGAATCCCTTTATGAACCTGAAGCGGCAAGTGGTTTCTGTTAATTTTCTGGCCCATTTCTTCACGGAGCCTCGGGCTCTCTCCCCACCTGTTTGCAAAGGAGGCCGAAATGGTGCAGGTTGTTTGGGTCGCCAGGTGGGGCGACCGTTACATGGCCCACAGGTCGGGTCTGCCCCGAAAATTTGCTCTATTTCACCCATGCTATCTTTGGTTTTGTTTTGAGTGGTTTGAATTAGTTGCTAACAACAATATTGGGAACTAGTACACGAAAGCCAGATTTCCACCCAACCTTGGGTGGGCGGAGGGGGAGGGGGGGCTGGTTATCAAGAATCTGTGGCAACACTAAGCTGGCATTTCTCCAAGGCAGCAGTCAGCTGGAGTAGTGACTGCCCCTCTGAGGTGGACTGAGCTTTCCAAAGTTAGCTGCAGTTCCCACCATGCCTTATCATCTTATCCCAGCTCGTGAAATTCACTTTTACCTGCCTGGCATTGGAGGGCAGCTGACCTTGTGACTTTTGAACTAAGAGAAACTGACAGGCGTACTGAATTGTGATCACTGTCCAATTAGGGAGCTCAGAAGAAAGCAATGGACTTAGCCGCAGTCCCCACCATGCCTTATCGTCCTATCCCAGCTCGTGAAACTCGCTTTTTTACCTGCCTGGCATTGGAGGGCAGCTGACCTTGCGACTTTTGAACTAAGAGAAACTGACAAGCACACTAAATCGTGGTCACCATCAAATTAGGGAGCTCAGAGGAAAGCCACAGAGCTGAATTCTTAGGGGCTGACACCCTGAAGGGAAGATGGGCTTTCGGCACAAAGCCAAAGAACTCAGCCAAGTCCACAACCACCTTCTACAGAGAACTCACTTTCTTACGGTCCACACAGCCCACTTTCTCCTTTTGGCCAGCTTCCGAGCCAGGGCCCCGCGCCAGTGGGCTTCAAGTGTGATGGCTGAAAGAGTTCACTGCCAGCATTAGAAGGTGAGCACGATCACATTTAAATACAATGGCTTTTTTCCAGAAACATCCATCCACTCCACAAACATCCGGATACCCACCCGCACTCTGCCCGAGAGATGGAAAAGTGGTGAGTGTTACCAGTTCTTATGGGGAGTGTGGGGGGCGGTTCAGACAACTGAACCAGGGCAACAGAGGAACCCCAGAGGTGCCACAGGAAGCTTCAAGGAAAGCCCCACAATGACGTGAGGGGATCAGAGTTTCCCCAGGCCTTCCTGAGGGACCCGTTGGTTTTGTTGCCGCCCACGGCTGGTCTCAACTGGTGTGTGCTTTAAGTTGTCTACACTTAAGAACTGAGATACGTAAATTGGGACACATAGATTTCTGACGTGCTTCCCAGTTTTTAAGTGCTTTACAGATTTTGTTCAGTTATTCGGATTAGAAAAAATACTTTCTTGTGTGTTCCTCATAGCAGCACTGTTTTCTGTTATAAAAGCAAGCAACTGAAACAACCCATGCGTCCATCCAGCGAATGGCTGAATTATGAAGTACTCATACGGCACGGGGGTTGGCAAACTGCGGCCCGCGGGCCATCTGTTTTTGTAAATAAAGGTTTACTGCCACACGACTATGCCCGTTTATTTACATATAGCCTAAAGTACCTTCCTGATACAATGTCAGAGCTGAGTAGCCGTGACCGAGGCCGGGTGACCCCCAAGTCTACAGTACCACCTGGTCCTTAGGAAAGTTTGCCAACGTGTGATACGGTGCAATCCTACGCAGCCGTGACAGTAAATGACCAAACCTGCGCACGTCGACTGGTTGCATTTCGGAAACAAACACATCCCTAAAAATATAAACAGTATAATCTTACGAAGTTCCAAATGTGTCAGCCAATAAAACTGTTGTTTAGAGACGTATCCATAGATGGTAAAGCTATAGAGGAAAACAAGGCAATGAGAAATGCAGAATTCCAAAGAGAGATGGGGGCGGGGGGGGGGGGCAG